CGATGGCGATGATGAACAACCCGAGAAACACGTACCACAAGTCAAAACTCAGCTGCTTCCGCAGGTGAGCCCCGATATACGTGGGTGCGGTTTGCTGATCTTCATCCTCTTCATCTTCAGGCTCCGTGGGATAAACACCAAGACTTTTCTCTTCGTACACATTCGTCCGTCGCATCGAAATGGCAATCGGGAACACGGAGATATACATCATGATCATGTACGACACCTGGACGGCTGGATGCAAGTCTGAAATCCCCACAACCGCGAAACCCGCCGTTCTCGTACAGGCCGCCTGAAACAAACCATCCAGAACCCGGATTCCAGCAGGCAGGGCAGTTACCGCTGGATCATTGAGGTCCAGGATGATGAAAAAGATCAAGTCAATGCCGTTGAGCGCAATGAGGATTGCAAACAGCCACCAGGTGGCATTGCGCGGGAAAAGAAGCGTGAAGCAGCGACGGGGGTGGTCAAGCAAAAATTTCAACTCCTCCCACAGCGGACTGTCAACGGGAACCACCTGGGAACAAACCCAGATGATCAGCCGAAGCATGCACGGGAACCCCGTATTGCCAATGATAATGAGAAAGGCCAAAAGCAACAGCGGGAAGATGGCACCTTGGAACGAGCTCATCGAGTCCGGAGTCAAGGTGAAGCCGACGTCGTTAAACGCCGAACCCGAGGTGAAGATTCCCCACCATGGACGGCCCTGGCCAGCGGCCTGGACGACAGAGCCCCAATGGGTATGTATAATCCAGGGAACCATGCAGACGACGCCCAGAAGATGGAAGCCAACATAGTAGGCGATCAGCACAACGGCCAGGGTCTTCAGAGCACGATACTCGATGCCTCCCAGCTCGTCACGTTGTTCTTCGGTCAGGTCGACAAAGTTGGAGTTTCGACCAACAGTAGCATCCCAGCTGAGATACGGAAGAGTTGGTCGGTCGCGTTCTTGGGTGAAGGACCGAACGATACTGTTCATCGTGCCACGTCGGGCTCGACCAAAGGGACTGGCATCGCTCGTGTCCTTGGTCTCACGGACGGTGGGACGAGTATCCATGCGAGGAATGGTAGACTGTCGAGTTTTTGTCCGCGTAATCTCCGGCTCGTTGATAGTAATGTGCGGGCCCTCCATTGGGGGGACTTCATCGTCAGCCTCTCGAGCCTCATTGAACTCCCGACTCGTCTGTTTGGCAAGTTCTTCCCCATCGCCGTCTTCTTCTTCCAGCACCTCAGGCATACCACCGCGATCGTATTCGCGTGGACTGGGAATGCGCAGAGCTCCTTTATTTTGCCGCTGGTGCTCCAGGAAGGCGATGTGCTGGTCGGGGCTCACTTGGGAGGGGACGCGCAAACTCCCAAGACCCAGTCTGGGGGTGCGCTGTCCAGAGTCCTCGCGGTCACTGGAATTATTACTATCCTCACCATTGACCGGCCTTGTATCGGTAGGACTGCGAGTAGAATCCGAATCATCGGGAGTTTGGTTTTTGATCGGGGAGCCCTGTGGCGTTTTGTGGACAGCATCACCCGATTCGTTGCGCAAGACAACAATAGGCTGGCTGGTGATGCCCCGCTCTTCCCTGTCATAATCACGGCTATCATCGTCATCCTCCTTGCCCTCTGTGACGGTGCGCATTCGGGTTCGGGTGGCGCGCAAGTTGCGAGCGTCACGAACGACATGCTGGAAACGCTTTTCGAACCAGTAGAGACGGATGAACACCAACATGGTATGGATGAAGATCGGGGTGGTGAGCATGGAGACAAAGTACAAGACGACTTGCTGATAGGTGTGCAGCAGATTGAAATCAACGGTGTTCAAGCCGCTCTGGGTTGCGGCGCCGGCGGAGAAGAAGAGGGCATCGATATACGCCAGCTTGGTTCCGGGATAGATGATGATGGAGGCGATGAAGCTCATGCAAATAATGTAGGTATAATGGAGGAGGATAAAGTTCATATGAATGTCCCTCACGAATGGAATGCGGGACTTGACCTCGACGGTCTTCTTGATGAATTTGGAAAACATCCTGACGACCGAGCGGGCCGTCGTTGAACGACGCCCACGAGCGACGGAAGAGGGAAACCGTGGGGACTTCAAACCGGTGATATTCATGTGAGTGGCTATGATTCTAGCAATTGAGCGACAAAAGTTAGCTTCTCATACCGAAACGGTCATGGGGAGTGGTGATAAGCTACCACACGCGGTCAGATGCCGAAATCGTCCCTGACACCTGGTCAAGACAGGACAATCGCACACAATTGACAGGACAGAAAAGAATCGGACGAGATACTGTTAGTCTCTGGTCCAAACCGGGCGACCTTTAAACAGAACCGAGGTGTCCAAGGTCATGATGAATGGTGATACTAAAGCGAAGAGGGACAACTAGCCAGGCGCAACCAAATCAAAGGCCACACATGCACACACACACACAAAAGGAAAGCAGGTAGAAAAAGAGTCGGAGGATAAGAGAAACGAAAAAGAATAGCGCAGGCAAAAAAAAAAAAAAAAAAAAAACTCTTCAGCTCGAATAGGAAAACTCGAAGAGCTTATGGCGAGGCAGCAGAGATTGCCAGAAATCGCTCACTGGGGCTCGTGGACAGTGCTTTGCGACCGACGACGCAATGCACAAACGGCGTGCTGCACGGCGACGATCGTTGTATCAGAATAAAGGATTCATGATCCTCTGTGGGTTCTCTCTGGGTTGCTGGAGGATGGGACAGATAAATGTAGACAAGAAGGTTGTATGGTTGAGGGGATGACAGTGTACAATCACCTGATCTCACCTGATCTCCCGCTTGGGACTCGACAATACTTTTTTGTATAGCCTCAAAACTACTGAGAATGAATAATTTCACAGTCTATTGGGGCCTCGAATCTTGGCAGGTTGTGAGATCGCTGCAGGTGGATGCAGGAATGCCGTGAGAATTCTACCTTGACCGTACCTAGTTAACTAACTAGTATAATGGCTAGCTAATCCCAGTCCCTAATGGATTCCTTAATGCGACCTTGGCCAATTCCGGCCTTTTGCTCCTCACCGGATATCCGACTTTTCGGTTCCAAGCTGCAGCTTACAGGGATTTCGGTGGTTTTGCTTTTTTTGCTGTGCTTTATCGGCTTTATCTTGCAGGTCTCTTGTCGTGCATATGCATAGGGGCAGATATACACCGACTTGCTGACCACCGCTAGCCATAGATCAGCCATACAATCTTCCGTATCACTTTTCTTTTCGTTTCTTCTTCTGTCGCAATATTCTACGGTTATTCCGACAATTCTGACTCTGATTTCGGATATCCGGCAAAATAAAAAGAAAAGAATGCCCCAATATCACGGTGTCGCCGCTTTGGACCGGCTGGCTCTGACATTCTCTCATCCCTGAACTGACTAGTATACTATGTGGGAAATCGGCACCGACATGGCAAAAGAAGCAAACAAATGCGACAATGCAAGATAAACCTATTTTTGAACTGATATGTACAAATTCTTGGTGCCGTAACTCCCGCGTAGAACTCACGGTTGATATTTCTGCCATATGTTCCTCCGTCGCATCGGTCATACAACGGCTGCTAACATCGACTTGATTGGGAAATATAGAACGGTGGTGGTGAAATCAAGGTCCTTTCCAACTCAGGATTCATAGTAGGCGCCAGATATTGATCATATAAGCTGCCACCAACCGTCATCATCGATGCCAGACACTTCATACCGAAGCGTTGATATCCGCGATGCCGGCGGTTAAGGCAGGTATTCCGACCACGTTTTGGACTACACCGTATCGCCGTATCAGATCAGATCATTTTTTTATGGAGTTTGCCAGATCATCTTGGATATATCATTTGACAAGGGTGTTTCGGGATATTGTCGGTATCAAAGCGTTGCTGCGCCTGTCCGATTCGGTCAGCAGCGCCATGTGTACTTCATACTCTGCACGGAATGCGTGATCGGGATGGAAACACAGGATCCATGCGCGAACTTATCTACCATGAATGATAGAGTATACAACCCGCGTGGCTGAGACGAGCACACGGAGAGCCCCGATGTCGCGAAACGACTGGTTGAATCCCCGCAGCCGGCAGAAGGATGGTGGTGGCAGTGCAGAAGGCAAACAATCGGTGTGATTGCAGTACTTGTGTACATAGTATGCTACCAGGGCTAAAGTGATCAAGTCTCTCCGCATAGACCTATTTCCATTTCCTCTTTTGGCCATCATGAAGCCATAGCAAGTGGTCGGGCCACAGGCTGCGGTACGGCGCGCTTATTGGTCAGCATCGGTGTCCACGAGGTACTTCCTATACGCTTATTGGTTGAGCTAAATGGATGGGCCAATTTCCATTTTGGGCGATATAGACATACGGTGAATGTATGAGGGGTGTCGATACAGGGGTGTAGTATACTCGAGTATGTATATAGCTCACTTGAAAGAACGGTACGAGTGCAAGGATTCTTCTACAGCCCTAAAACAGGTATCACCATCCGGAGTTGAGCATCTTCAGCAGTGGTATCAGTAGTATGTGCTCCGTACTAACAATCTCCAGACAAGTGAGCTTGGACGCAATTTTAGACCAGCACATGGATCAAAATATAAGCTATGCGGGCAAAAGGCTATAGTCAGCTGATCACTCACGGATACAATGCAAATCCCCAATTCCTACTGCCATGAGTCCTTTTCTAGCCCAATGACTGGTTGTCAGGAACATTTACACTGTACTCCTATACCAGACGGTCACATGATTTCTATATTTGCTCAAAAGCCATGAGCCTCTCTTCATCTGAACTGTGCACCTCCATCTCACTCTCCCCAGCCTTGGGGCCATCAACCTCGCCAAGATGCTCCAGTGGGCGTCACGCTGTCTTCCTGGATTCAGCACCATTGCCTTGATATTCCTGCTAGTCTTTACATCTAACTCGATTCCCTTCTCGCCATGGAACTCACTTTGGCCTCCTGCCAAAGGGCCTCCTCCCTCGACGGGGGGATAATCCAGTTCTCAATGTTGCACAGAAGATCTTCATGGTTTACACGCTCCTCGTCCACACGAACATGCTTTGGTTCGCTACTCGTCTGTCTTGGTCTCTTTGGTATGTTACCAGACAAACCAAGCAGGTCCTGAGCAGACGTTGGAAAGCAAGCCAGGAGGACTTCGTCGATGACCCTGATCCGTCCGTTTCAAAGTTCAACGATCCCGAGGTGTACGAGGTGGGTGACCAAGAGGTGATTCATGCTATTATACTACCTAACTATGGGGAGAATCTCCATACGCTTATGACTACTTTGAACGTGTTTGCTAGTCACCCACGAGCTCGTTCGCAGTATGAGGTGAGCTTGACATCTCTTTTTCCCGAGTCTAGCTGACATCCCTAGATCTATCTCGCAATGGAGCAGAAGGAAACCGAAACCGCGGACAAAGCTCAGAAACTCATCTCGAAGTTCGAAAAGTTCTTCCTCCACGTTCGAAGCATGTTCCACCCCGCAGGGTTACAAGGAGAGATTGCAGGCAAGAGCTCGAATGTCGCCTTTGCAGCTCGTCAGATCGTCCATGTCCACCGTGCAGAGCTCAGTCCTGGCTCCTGCAATGTCATCATCACAGTGATTGACGGTTAGCCACTCCTTTCCGGTGCAGAACAGGATGAAACTAACTGGAACAGCCGATACGCATCTGTGGCAGGACTGCTTCACCGAAATTCGTCGTCTCCATTATGCCCACCTCACAGACGACACAGACCGCACCCTCTATTCCTGCCCGATCATCTTCGACCGCAACTCCCACGAAAGTCCCATACTCGTCCGCTGTGCAGATCTTATTTGGGGCTTCGCTGGTCTCTCGACCATGTACCCAGGCACGACCATCTCGATTCCAACATCCGTGTACTCGTTACCATTGTCTCTAGCTGAGAAGGTCGGTGGCTGGGACAGCGACCCAACTGCAATCGGCGAGGATATGCACACGATGCTCAAATGCTACTTTGAAACCGCTGGCAACCTGCTCACGCGCGTGGTCTACGTCCCCGCTAGCCAGTGTAACGTGTCCGGTGATACGGCCAGAGATCGAAAGATATCCAAGTACCGTTGAACCCTCGATACCTGCCACGCCCGGTATCGTCAAGCCCTAAGAAATATGTGGGGAGCGCTGGACCCTGGCTTTGCGACCCGTCGCACCTTGACCTACCTCCGTTTACACAGTAGATGTCTCTTCCTCCGTCCTAGACACCTGGCTCTCCTTCATCTACTCTGGGAAGCACATTTCCTTCCCGTTCAACTGATGATCCTGATGGTGTTCTCCGCTGTTTACGAATTTACTTCTTCGTCACTGCACCCCAACATGCACCTCGCGTTGTTTGTCACCAACATTCTCCGCACAGCCTCCTTCATCTGGATGAACCTGTGCCTCGCCCTATACGAACGTTGGTACAATCTCTGCCTCCACACAAGGAAGGGAGACATGCTGCAAGCGAACGTGAATGATACGGGCTTTGCCATGCGCGTCTGGTGGTACTTGCCGTTCCTCCTGGAGAGGATCTGTTTCCCCATCGCCGGAACGATATTCGGAGCTGTCCCAACGTTGCATGCAGTTTTTTCGCATTTCTGGACCGATCGGCTGGTATATAGGGTTAGTAAGAAGCCGGAGTTTGCGTCTCTGGTTTGATGGTGATGTACGGAATATACGATTTATTATTTACTGTCTGTTGTCTACATTTATGTCTATTCATGTCTATTCATGTCTGCTCACGTCTTCAATTTGCCATGTCTGATAGATTCACGCATGTATATACAAGTGCCACATCTAATACCTAATACATAGATCTCATGCAATGATCACGCAGCACTATGTCTATAAACATAATGCCACCCCTCCTTCTTAATATCCTGTCTAACCTTATAGTTCTCCTCCGCAATCCTTACCAGCCCCATATCCATATCCACAACCATCACGTCCTCCTTGTTCCCCATATCCCCGACAACACCCACAACCGGCAAGACAACCCTCGATAGCCCAAAATACTGATCCCCAGGTCCCCCAGCAACATTCGCAAAGATAATCCCGCAAGTGTTCTCAAAAGTCCGCGCCGTAAGCGTCGACTCGAGAAACAGCACTTCAGACGAACGGTTGTATTGCAGCGCCTCGGGGGACGCATCATACCGACTCCCTGCATACATATCAGCAAACTACCCATACCCACCAACAACAATGCAACTTACAGAACGTCGGAATAATAATAATCTCCGCCCCCTTCAAAATCAACTCCCGAAACGCCTCCGGAAACGCCACATCCCAACAAACCAGCAACCCGACCTTCCCGACGGGCGTCTCAATCACCTCATGCGGCTCCTCTCCCGAAGAAGTCAAATACTCACGCTCAGGATGCCAGATATTCTTCTTCCGGTAGGAGCCTAGGATGTCGCCGGTGGGGGCGATGAAGTAGGCGGTGTTGTAGAGGAGAGGTTTTTCGTTTGAATCTGGGTCTTGGGCAGAGGTTGGGGTGTGGTTTTCGACGATTGTGCCGGGGACGAGGGAGATGGAGAGGTCGCGGGCGAGGGATTGGTAGGTTTGGAGGTAGGATTTGTAGGTTGTTGTTTGGTGGATGTAGAGGGGGTTAGACGGGGTGAAGCCGTTCAGATGATATCTTGTCGGTGTCAGCGAATTACTTCGTTCATGAATAGCGTAGGGAGTGCTTACTCCGGCAAAACGACAAGTTTAGCGCCTTGCGCGGCTGCTTCGCGGATGAATTGGCATGCTTTCGCGTGGTTCTCGTCGATGGCTAGTTCCTGCGATTGTCAATGCTGCACCCATTCCCATGTCATAGTGAGAGCTTACCTTGATGTACCACTGCGCAACGGCTACGCGACGAATTGGAGCCATTGTCTCGTTGTCTTGTTCTTGTGTTGACAGCAGGAATAGAGAAGTTGACTCAGAGAAAAATCGCGGGGAGTGTCATGGTGGGTCTGGGGGATTTATATTGGAGATGTTGGGGTCGGTTGAGTTGGGGTAGGTGGGGTAAGTATTCCTATGCTTCACTTCTAGTATATCATTGACCTGGTGAATGTTCAGTCCAGACTTTACGGCAAGAACCGTCGTACTCCTTCGAAAGTCGTGCTCCCAACTTTCTCCGCGGCTCAAACGGTGGAACTCGTGAAGTCCAGATGGCAGAGCTGCTCGCTGGTCTCAATCCAATCGAAACAAGCGTCCTCGGAATGTGCCACAGTACCCAAAACTGCACCGTGCAACTCCTTTGCATAGACCATGAGAGTACAAGGAAGCCTCGGACCTGGAATAGATTCACCCTTCACAAAGGTTACACAAACAGACAGAGTACTCATATGGCTCGAAATGCTACGCATCAATGTGTTCTACAATCTTGAGTACTCTGCTGAATATTTGAATGCGCAGAGGGAACTTCTACCCTCGAACAGTCAGCACACCCCTTTGACAACGCCCTAGAAGATATTCACCCCCCCCCCCCCCCCCCGGGGGGGGCACTGTATGAAAAGATTCGACAGTACTATAAAGAATTTAGCACGAAGAGGGACCTAGCGCCATACATCTCCATTATAGGCCTGAGCGGCATAGGCAAATCCTATGCAGTCCAGCTTCAAACAGCGACTCGGTGCTGGTAAGTTCATTTCCATGTGGTATATAGCTGCTCAGTTGACGTTGTCGTCAAATCAAGGCGAACAATCCGTAGCCGCTCACCATCTAGTTAATGCACCAGCATGGCACTTCTACTTCCTCCGACAATACCTCCTCGGCCTCGGCCTTTCTACCATGGATCAATGACTGCCTTTTTTGAATGTTACTTTGCCGGTAGCATTGTACTCGTTTACCTGGCTAGATCGCGAGTTCCGCAGCGCATATGTGACACGCAGCATGTATACTCACAGGAAAGTGTCCAGAGACCAAGGGAAAAACCCGCCATCTCAGCATCAAAGAAATTCGATTACCAAGGACATTTTCATAGACCCACTGACCGATTTGAAGGCCAGGTCTTCGACGTTTGGTGAAATGCCTGCTATATAATCATGGAGACACGCCACAAGCTACCGAACCAGCCGCCATCTTTTGCTTCGACGAGGCAAGAGAGTCATGCAACTGGACGGGAGATCCGCGTATGAGATTCTTCGCGATGAGACGAACCATGCGCCACAGGTCGAAAGCTGAGAAAGGTATTCGAAAGCAGACACTTCTTCGCTTTTATTGACACCTCTTGCGAAAGTGCCTGGCTTCTCTCACCCAGTAGAAAGTGACCCCAGTCTACAATCTTTCAGCTTTCCTGTTGCAATTGACCTGGAGATGAGAACCGATCAGAGCGCACCAGAAATTCATTCCCGTCCATCTATCAAATCAGCATAATGGATCTCTTTGAAAATGAGCCCCATCGTGGGACGGGGACGCAGAAGTTGCCCGGGATTATCACTATCTCAGGTGCCCCCTTTGGAAATCTTTTCTTCGTTCGAATAGTGAAGACGACATTCTCGCACAAGCCCCATGCCAACGATGGTGTCCGGTCCCTGGCCCTGATTTCTTATCGGTTGGACTTTTACATAACACTACCTAGACTTGTGGAGTCGGCATTATCTGGATATGTGATTGGGGTCAACAAAACGCGCACATTCTGCCGCACGGTGCAACCCTCGGAGCCACTCAGGCTCCTGCGTGGTCAGCGTTCAAATGTCCCGAAGAACGGCTTGTGGTAGTGAACTCACCGCAAAGATCTGTGACGAATGGAGTCATCCATGTTGGTGACATTGGCGAGACAATCGCCTTTGCGAAATCATCAAGACATTTGTCCCTTCGAAGTGCGCGAGCTCACTTTTACCCTCTTCACATTTGAGAGGTTGGAGGCTGTCAAAGATCGTATGGCCAAAGGCAATGCAATGACAACGTCCTGTTCAATCATCTCATACACGTGACCGAAAAGGCATCTCTTGAAACTATCCAGCGGGAGTATATAGGACTAGGGCTATGGGGATTCAGTCGAAGTGGCAAACGAGTGCGCGGAATGCGTGAGTTTGGAAATCATCCTGTTCGATCATTTCATACAAGTGACCGAAAGGCCAACGCTTGAAACTCACCAACGGGCATGTGTAGAAATAGGACTACGAGAATTTAGAAGAGCGTGATAATTGTATTGATAATTGTATTGATAGGGTATCATTATTAGACATTAATATGGTAAATACATCTCCAAATCCTAGATAGCAGGCCAATAAGCCTGTTCTTGCAGAAATAAAGTGCCTGAAGGCCAGACGTCAGATGCAAAATGGATAGGACTTTTGACCTGCCACTCTTCGATGCTGTATCTCCCGCGTTCCTCTTCCTGTAGCCAACTGACTCAAATGACTCAATCCATCGGTTAGGAATCCCAAGTCGAAAGAAAAGCACACCAACAAACGACCCCAACCGCAACTTTTCAAGGCATGAGACAAGCCAAGACAAACGGAGAAATGCTAGAAAAAAGCCCAGCTCTCCTGTCCAGACTCTCCAGATTCCTGCTCGTAGATACCATCCTCAGATCCCTCCGACTCTCTTCCACTAACACCCTGATAATCACCACTCTCCATGAACTGCTACACATCAGCTTTCCCTTCCCTTCACCTCTCCCCAGCCATCAATAGCGGCTGGAAAGGAAAAGAACATACAAAAAGCACCCTCCCCCCAATACAATGCGGACACTCGCCCTTCGACCGATAACCCCCAAAAATCCCATACGGAACACAATCCTCAGCCCTGCAATGCGCCATTCCCCATTGCGGATTATTGGTGATCTCGTCGCAGATGAAGTACATCGTCAGATTGACGAGGTGCTTGGGGGCTGCATGGCAGAGGGAGGGGAGGGAGGGGAAGGTTAGGGTGTAGCACATTTTGATGTCGAGAGGTGAGGGTGGCGTAAGGGGTGTGTGATTGGTTAGACTGGTGTGGTGTGTATGCGCTGTGAGGTACTGGTAAGATATGGTGTGTCTGGGGTGGGAAGCGTCGAGACGAGCTAAGGTGTGATTCGAGAGCTTGGGCGCAAATGCGAAATGAGCGATAGATTGTGTCTTCCTACTGTCGCGTTATTATCAGTACACCGGCGCAAAGAGCCTGCGAAGGGACCTCGCTTTCCCCATGAACTCTCCAGGTCCTTGAGAAAGCCCGAAGCAGGAAACTCACCAGTCCAGGGCCAAACTAGACACTACCCGGAGAGCAAACCGCGCAAAGCAACCGCAAAAGCAAAAGATCGTAGTGTGGCTATCTTAAAGGAACGAACAAGCCCACCTCAACCAAACTGAAAAGCAAAAGAGCGCGCGCTTGGTATAAGTAAAAGAATGGAACAAAAGAGGGAGAAGAGAGAGATCTCTCCAAAAAGATGGAAATGCCGTAGCCTAACTAAAACATCCTTTCTCTCTCATTCACCAGAATGCACAGGATACTGGCGACATCATTTTGTAGAGATGGGTTTTTTTTACTTTCTTTTATTTTGGATTGGGTATACAAAGGTTTATGGCGATAGACTGGTTTTGAAGAGTATACTCCTTTTCAGCTACTAATCTAAAGTGGTGCTATTTGAGGGCTTCTCAGGCACGTTTTTTCCATGTGGGATGTTGTGAATGAGAGTTCAGGCAGGTCTTCAAAGCAAAGCTCTCCACTGGCTACATCTTTGAATATCCACAGCTCAGACCGTCTAATGCTGTACATTCGCCATATAGAATAGTCTTTGAAAATACTCTAAGGAGGAGAACCTCGGAACATCAAACATCAACAAATCATTAATTGATACAAAGAAAGTCGTGATATCGAATCTCAGCTCAGACAACTTGACATCAAAAGGAACCGTTATGGTATGGAATCGAGACTTGACTTCGGAACGACGTGCAAACGTAAAACACAACACCTCCGAGGCAACACAACCAGACAGAACCCAAAAGAAAGCGAAAGGATCAGGGAAAGGAAACAGGCCATAGTTCGAGACAGAGTATTGAAGGCGATTACTGCACCTGGCTGACAATCTCGCTGGCGCGAGACAGACTCTCCACCATCTGCTGGCACTCTTTCCGTCGGCGGATCGTGTAATCGCTTTCCTTGAGCAAGTCGTCGAGTTCCTGGTTGCGATACATATTCTCGAGCAGTTCACGCTGCATCTCATCCTTGGTGAACCTAGGATACAGTCAGCATAAGATCCAAGATATGCGAAACGGCATGGTACGTACTGAACGAGAGTGTACATGATGGCCTTGGGAACCATGTCAATCATAGTCCGCTTGACGATGTTGTAGTACGAAGTGATCAGGAGTTCTGTAGCCATATTAGCTTGTAATCCATAGATTTGGCGGGCATTACTCACTGATAACCTCCACTTCAGCACTTTCGCGGTCCGACATGGTGGCCGACACCTTGAGGGTTGGCGGGGGAGGCTCCATAGCAGCCGCCTTCTTCTTGTTCTTGGAGGCCCAGAAACTTCCAAAGAATCCAGCGTTGTTGGTGGTTTCAGGCTGGGGTTCCAACGACGGGCTGTTCGCACGGCTCGCGAGAGGCTTGCCGGTCTTCGGGTCAACCTGGGTAGGCTTTCCGGCAACTTGACGTTCATTGACAATGGCCATGGCCTATTCCAGTTAGGATAGATCAAAGCAGTGAAGAGTGTTTGGAAAACTTACGCGGTGGCCATTGAGGAAGTCAGGGTGACCAGTGTTGATGTAGCATGACTCCATGTTGACCAGATCCCGCACCAGCTTGTTCGTTGGATCCATGCACTTCTTGAAGAAAGTAATGACGACGGCGTGGAACTTCTCCTTCAACATGGGGTATCTGCGGAACAGCTGCTTGTTCAGGAGTTGACCCAGGATACGAACAAGCTCGTCGTAGACCAGAGAGATACACTTCAAGCTGGGGTCCTCCATTCTTCTGATCTGTTGCTTGACAATCAATTCGAAAGCGGTGGTACCAACGAACAGCGAGGGTGAGGGACCAGATGAGTTGTAAAGGAACATCCGAATGTCCATGTCCTTCACAGCGTCGAAAGGATCAACTGCCTTGATACCGTTCGAGTAAAGCTCGTGGAAGACGAAGCTAATACGCGCACCGCCCGACAATTCTGCGCTAGAGAGTTCTTGGTTCCGTCCTTCCAAGACTGTGCGGTATTCGTTGCTAAATTCGGTGATGATGTTCAGAATAATGTTGGCACTGTTGCCCAACAGCGAATCACCAAGCTGCGAAAGCTCAGAACTGTACTTTTGAAGGGAGGAGGAAATGCGGGCCTTGATGTCTGGCAAGGTTTGTTTAATGTGCATCATGAGAATCTAATAACAAGCCAGTCAGCGAGTGCTCCATGCCCACACAATTGGCGTCGGGTACAAACCAAGTTCAGCTTTCTGGCCAAGTACGGTGTTCCGCAATATGAAGCCTTATTACGATATGCCTTGTGGTTTTCGAAGAAGTTCTTCTCATTCTCCAGAGCAGACGCGATTGGCCGCTTGTTCTCAATATCGCGCTGGCCACGGTTGACCACCGGCACATAACCCAAACGCAATGGAATAACCCTGCCCGCAAGGATATCCACAACGTCGGTTCCTTCGTCCATGAGGTCGACCTTTGTCAACACACCAATCGTACGTTGACCCTCCGGGTCCACCTCACGCGCCAGCTGCAGACCGTCCGAGTTGGCCAGATCCTGGTTGGCGGAGGTCACTGCAAGAATGATGGCGTTGGGCTTGCTAATGTACCTCATAACCATGTCCCTGATCTGTCGCTCGATATCCTTGGGCTGGTCACCCACGGGAACCTTGGTCAAACCGGGCAGATCGACAAGTGTGAGGGTAAGGACGTTGGGCGAGTAGATGCGGAGGTTAATCGGGATAGGCGAAATACCTGCATTCTTGCCGACTTTCGATTCGGTTTCGCGAACAATCTCTTCACGGATCTTGTTGAAATCGTAGAACTTCTGTCCGGGGATATGCAGGAACTCTCCGTACTCGTTCACGTTCGCCGCCTCGTCCGTCGTATTGTCCACCTTCTCGTCTGTCGATCCGTTCACCGAATTTCTTGCGGGTTTGTTGATAAGCTGCAGCACGAGGGGTCTCCGCGTAACAATTCCCGAACCACGAGGAAGACTATACAACCACTCTAGTCAGCCACTGAATCCACACGCACGCATACCACTACAACCATCGCACCGCGACCTGAGAGCCACTCACAAGTCCCGACCAACAATGTTTTCTAAAACCGAACTCTTTCCGCTCGACTGCGATCCGACGACGGCGATCTGGGGCAAATCGATGGGATTGGTAACCTAGAACAGACCAACAGATGTCAGTACGTATATGCGGCGGGGCGGGAAGCCGTCGCCGTCCAGGCAAAGCTCCCACCAGCTCCAAAAACACATTTCACTTACCCCGACTGTCGAAAAGACATCCTGGAGTTTGTTCACCAGCGAAATCAAGCTGGGGTCGTTGACGTTAATCCTGTGGAATCCTCGATGTTAGTCAGACCGCTCGGAGGTTTGGCTATCAGGGATAGGTAGCAGGGGGGGGTGTATGCGCACGAGAAGCCAGTCGGGCTAGCCATGGCTGGCGAGGATTATAGATAGACGCTCTAACCGGGGAATATTAAAACAGGAAATGGTATTAGGAAGAATGGGTATCGCTGTTGAGAGGCGCCGTTGGTGGTGGCGGACAGGAAGCGGGAGTGTCGAAGTTGCGGCCAAGTGTACGGAGTAGCTTCGCGAGGCCGATCAGTAGTATGGGGTAGATAGGCTCCGCCAGCTCGTTCTCACGGCAATACTGGGGTTTAAAAGGCAAATGGGTATAAAAAGAAGCAGCTGTCATTCAACTGCAAGTATTACGGAGAAATGTAAATTCTTACAGAAACTCTAGAGGTCCTTTAGTGCAGCCTGGGACGCGTCATGTGATATTCCAGCCAGCCGCACCACGATGCCTGATATCCATAGCAACCCAACGGTGGAATAATGAGTCAGATATAGCAAAAGAAAAAGGAAATAAATTCGTGACATCGCAAATAACTACAAATGGGAATTGGTTATGCTATACAGGCTCCCAACCAGATTACTGCCCGTCAAAAGTGCGCCACGTCCTACTCCATCAAGGACAGTTTACACGTCCGACACCGAGGCGAAGCGCTCCGTCATGGACTGGAGGACCTTCTCGTACTGTGGCGGAGTCAGTATGGGGACTGTCATTAGGATTTTCCTTTAGTAGCTCACCTTGTCTGTAACCTCTTCCCGGTTCTCTGGGAGCTCGAACTTCATACTCCGCAGGGAGGTCTGGATATCACCGGTTGCATCACGGACCTTAGCCCAGTTCTGACCCTGGGCAACGGCCTTCTGAGCCTCGTCATGGAAGCCCATGAATGCCTTCATCATGTACTCGGTCTTCCACAGCGGGCAGAATTGGTCGTAGTCACTGTAACCGTTCTGCTGCAAGAAGTCATCCTTCACCATAGCTGCCACGTCCAGTGTAATTTTATCCGAGTCACCCAATGCGGCCTTACCGACCAGCTGCACGACTTGGTCCAGATCCTCCGATTTGGTGAGCAGCTCTCGGACACTCTCACGCAGTCGAGGGAACTCAGGGTGGTCTTTCTCGTAGAATTTGTCGAGTACCGTAGTGTATTTACTGTAGGACATGGAGGTGTTGATGGAGGGGAAATGCTTCCGCTGGGCCAGCTTCTTGTCGAGACCCCAGAACACTTGCACAATACCCAGAGTAGCGCTAGTGACAGGGTCGGAGAAGTCACCACCAGGAGGACTGACAGCGGCGACGATACTGACACTGCCATTTCTTTCGGGGCTGCCCAGAGCAGTACTCTTACCCGCACGTTCGTAGAAGGAGGCAAGCTTGGCTCCCAGGTACGCAGGGAAACCCTGATCAGCAGGCATTTCTCCCAGACGGCCGGAAATTTCACGCAGCGCCTCTGCCCACCGCGAACTGGAGTCCGCCATCATTGCCACGTTCTTGCCCTGGTCACGGAAGTATTCGGCGATGGTGATACCGGTGTAAATAGAGGCTTCACGCGCGGCGACAGGCATGTTGGATGTGTTGGCAATCAAACAAGTACGCTTCATGATGGGTTCTTTGCGGCCCTCGACTTCAATAGAAAGCTGCCCGTGATCATTAGCACTAACACACCAAAGGTCAACCATGACGTATGCGCGCGACTCACCTCGGGGAAATCCATCAAGACTTCAGCCATCTCATTACCACGCTCACCACATCCGACGTAGACAATAATATCACTGTTGGAGAACTTGGACACACTCTGGGAAATGACAGTCTTGCCGCATCCAAAAGCACCAGGAATGCAGACAGTACCACCCTGGACACTGGGGAAGAGAGAGTCCAGCACTCTCTGTCCGACAACGAAGGGCGAGTCGGATGACAGTCTGTCGTTGACCGGTCTAGGCACACGCACCGGCCAGACCTGCATCATGCCGTGCTCTGTCTTCTTTCCATCGAACTCGATCTCCAAGAGCTTCTCCTCCACTGTGTAGCTTCCGGCCTCGGCTATCCGGGTGATGGTACCCCTGGAGCGGGGTGGGAGCAGGACCTTGTGTTGGTTCACCAAGCTGTTCTCAAAGACGGTACCCCAGATGTCACCTCCCGTAATGTGGTCGCCGACCTTCATCGTAGGCGTGAAGTCCCACTTCTTCTCACGATCCAGCGCATTTACCCGAATACCACTGGGGATGTAGATCGAATTGGAATCCGAGTAAATCTGCTTGAGGGGACGCTGGATACCGTCGTAAATCGTTTCCATCAGACCGGGGCCAAGCTCGACCGAAAGAGGCTTGCCGGTTCTGTACACAGGGTCACCGACAGCCACACCCGCTGCAATTCAAAAGAGCTATATTAGCTATCAGTGCATCCACATGCGATTATCAACTATCGCGGAGCAAGAGGGGAGCGAATGGAGCCGTACCGGTTTCCTCGTAGACCTGGATGGTGACCTTATCTCCATCGACACGGATGACCTCTCCGACGAGCTGACCAGCTCCTACATGGCACTATTTGGGACAGAAGAGTCAGGAAATAATGATAAAGCCATCGCATCATTGGAGGAAACCAAATGTTGATCTTACCAACTCATACATAGCACATCCGATCATGTTCTCGGCCACGACGACCGATCCGGAGACGGAGAAGATGGCGCCACGCTCGTCTCCATCATTCTCGTCTTTTGCAGGCGCCATGGTGTGTGAAGCGGGAGTGCGAATAGACGGAATTGGAAGAGAAGGTACACGATGTTCGATAGTAGAATTAGTGTTGTTATTGCTGATGCTGTAGCTCCAACTGGAGGTCGTCGAAGTGGGTGAGTCCGGGAGCGGTGGCAGGTTGGCAGGTCCGGGCGGTGATGAGGAGGAGCCGTCGTCGTCGACGGTTACAGATGGGAGCTCCTCGCGACTGCCTATCAGATCCAGCAGTGATGGCCGTGCTTTAAGACGGTTAACTCCCAAGCCTAGCATGCAGAATTCTTTTTTATTTGAATCTTTGTTAAGAAAATGAGTTCGCTTCTCTGTCTTTAGTAACTTTCCCCTGGAAGTGTTTACCTGGTCTGGTCTGGGCTTATCCACGGCCACTAAGATTAATCCGGGAGATCCCAAAGAGGCGTTGCTGGACAGTGCTGAGATCGACTTGGCTTTTTATCATCAATGTCTCGAAGTTTATAGTGGGCTTAGTTCTTTCAATTGCTGTTCAACGGCCATTTTGATGAATAGCACTACTCTATGCGAACGGCCGACCTTACTTCCCAACAGTAAGGTCCACGAATATATCACCGCTACATTGTCGACTCACATCCTTTGTTAGGATATCGCAGCCAGAAAACTATGTCCTAATGAGGCAGTTTAACCAGAATGACACTGACGACTCAAAGCACACCACAACTCCTGTCTCGGATACAGCTCATAACTGTTTTTTCGGCGCTTTCCCTCCCTTTTTCGGCTTATGACCGTCTCTGCCTCCCCTCCTACCTCTATAAATCCAATCCCCATCAACTGAGCTCAATAACTCCTCCACATCTTTTGTAGCAACTGATACAGCCACTGCTTCAGTATTCACATGTTCAGCAGCAACACGCACACACTTCAGTGCAAGTCTGTCCTCATCCTCTCCCTGTCCCGAACTCTGCACCAACAAGAGCGTATCTCCGTCTCTTGTTGTCTCCTCATCCGCAATAAGGAACACACGTGAGTCAACAATGCTCCCATCTGCGTTATCATTCAGGAATTGGGCGACATCGTGAATACTCCATCCAAGAAACGGGGATCTGAATGGAGATTCAATGGGAGGATGGGTCACTGAGCTCCTGGTGTATTGATGAAGCGTGTTCCTATTGTTGTCGGGCAGAAATAGGAGTGTTGGAGAGGAGTCGAGATCAATGGCACATTGGTAGGCTTTAGTGAGGATAGGTGAGATGATCTGGATTCTTCATGTCTTAGTCTTAACTCGTAAATGATTACAACTTCAGTGATTTACGTACTGGAGGTGATATGTCACAGACACAAATTACTGCGATGAGTGATTCGCCCATCGTGTCTTGACCCGGTATACAACTGATCCTATATGGAGCGCGGTGCAAACATTAGCTGAATGTGGGACTAGAAGTAGTATGTAGTGACACGTGGGTCATTATATGGGCAGGTTTGACTAGGGCTACCACCCAGCAGGACAATGTTATCCAGCATCCCTAATACAACCTACTCAATAGTAGCAAAGACATAGAAGCCAGAATCATTCATCCAAGATCGAGTATTTAGTGAAATCATCCAAGTAAATCTCCTGGCAATGACGCCATGACATCACTGTATCCAAGTTTCAAGTTCCAAGTTCCCGGAGCACACGACGGCTTTCTTAAAAACCCCGAGCCTTCAATCCCAAAAACATCCTGGTAAACATTTACTGGGATCGAATAACACTCACCATGGGCGCGGAAGGGTTTGTTGCGCCGTTGCTGGGCGCATTGCAAGCCTGCGTGTCCGTCCTACTTACCATCTGCTACGGAGTCGCGGCTCAGCGATTACAATTGATGCACAAAGAATCGATTGACGATATGGCATGTCTGAGCGTCAAACTCTTCCTACCTGCGTTGATTGTTGTGCATTTGGGCGAGCAATTGCATGCTGGGAATATGTTGAACTATGTTCCTGTCTTGGGTTGGTGATAACCTCTCTTCTTTTCCTGATGAAGGGGATTGCTGATGGATGGATATATTGTATTAGTTTGGTCATTTATTTACACCGGCAGCTCGATCGGATTTGCATACGTCGTCTCGAAAGTACTCAAACTTCCGCCCTGGGTTACACCGGCTTGCGCCTTCAACAACACCACGTCACTCCCGTTGCTTCTCTTACAGTCTCTGGAAAGCGTTGGAAGTCTGCACCCGATTGTTCGCGGTGAAGATACCGTCCCGGATGCCATTCGTCGGGCTCAAAGTTACTTCCTCGTTTGCGCTGTGGTCAGCAAGACTATTGGATACGCTGTTGGACCTGGGCTGCTCGAAACCCAGACCAACAATGACAATGGACAAGGTAGACGCGTATCAGAAGCAGAACAGGGTGATGCTGAGTCGCAACATGCTTCAGCAGCGGAGCAGGAGGATGTCAATGAGGAGACTTCTCTACTCCCGGACCGCGCACACAAAACAGGTCGTCAGATTCGCAGTCAGATCAAGCACTACGGGGGATGTATTACGTCTTGCCTCCCGAAACGGGTCAAGCAACGACTACTGGCACCATTCGAGTCCCCCTTTGCAGATGTCATGATTACTTGTACGACTGTCGGTGTGATATTGGGATCTGTTCCACAATTACACAAGGCATTCTTCAACCACTCAGATGATGGTGGTATATTCAACGCATGGTTAACCTCCAGCGTCAAGAATATTGGCCAGTTATTCACAACGCTTCAAATCTTCATCGTCGGAGGAAAACTAGGTCTCAGCTTCGAACGGATGAAAGGTGGCACTGGTCGTATTCCGTTCAGGGCGATTTTGACTATCTTCCTCGTTAGATTGGTTCTATGGCCTGCGTATGTATATCCCTGCTCACAACAAGGCAATTAAGCTAACACTCTGGTAACAGAATCAGCATTTCCGTCATCTATGCTTTGGCCAAGGGAACCAACATCCTCCAAACCGATCCGATTCTCTGGTTCAGTATGATGCTCATGCCTGCTGGACCGCCGGCGTTGGTGATATCAGGATTAGCTGAATTGGCTAAGATTCCTGAGACGGAGGAGATTGAAGTTGCGAAGACGTTGACGGTAGGATACCCCGAATGATTTTCTTCTATGAAATTAAGCTAACGTTTGAAGATCATGTATGCATTGTCGCCGTTTGTATGTCTGTCGATTACGGGAGCGTTGAAAGCTTCTCAAGCTGCGTTGGAGGCGAGGAGTTCATGAGGTTGGTAATTGTACGATATTGTATATATTGCATAGGAGCTTGTTACGGAGTTCCAAGTAGTATGTTAAAAAAAAAAAAAGATCCAATAATGCGTTCTTCCTCGGGCTACATACATCATTGGGGAGCTCATCCTACATCCACCACGCCAGGAGTACTTTGGGCATACGTTGATTAATTTTCATTTGATACTAATACATATTTCCCGTCAAACCCAATTACTGGAAGTGAATCCATTATGCCAACCCTGGCCACCTTCGTAAACGACATTCGAGCGAAATGACTTACTTCTGTAATAACGTGATGGTTAGCCCTCACATCCATCCTTTATCAAGCATCCCACCAGTTCCTTCTGTCAGGATCACAGGAAGTAGGGTACATACTCCGCAGCCCTTGCAAGCGCAGTTGTTGTTGCAGGAGCAGCTCTGGGCACCCCCGCAGGAGCAGTTCGATCCGCAGTCACAGCCGGCCATTGTGGATGATTTTGTGAGGATGAAGGATGGTTAAAAAGTAAGTATGTTTTGATTTGTTCAGTTCAAGGTCAGGTGGTGTGATTTGAGGACACCGGAGACAACTATGCTGGGGGTTATATATAGGTTAAGATGGTGGCGGTTTACATATCCGGGGACCATGGACGCATCATTATGGCGTCAAGGAGGAAATGGATGTCTGGGGATGGTTCCAATGGCTTCAATGGTTCCAGGGAGAGGGTTCTAGAAGGGAATTTATATGTATGATGTTGCTGAAGATGGTGTGGTGGCTCTTTTCTACTCCATTCGGCCTTTTCTATGCAGAGTCCGTACTCATGTACTCTGGCATATCGTACGAAAATAAGATCGCTCTGTGCAGGATCGTTGAATATACAGGTGTACTCTGCGGTACATTCGGAACGCAACGTCATAATGTGGTCTTGCTTTATTGACCCTTTTCCGCATTCGACTTCTTCCGTGGCTCGTCTAAGGCTTATTCTCAGTGGGATATTCTCCGTGCACTGCTACATTGTAAGCAAGTTCATGATGAACTTGCCCTGCCTAGGCCGCACCAAACGGCCCGTCCGCATCCTTCACGCCTAACAGTCGTCAGGAAATACCCTGCATCATGAGTGATGACCGAATGGCCTACCACGTATGTTGCCCAAGTGGAACAGCCTCCATCTGCGGGGGCTCCGTGTTGTGTTGTCGATAAGAGCAGCGGCTTGTTACTTGTCTTCTTTCAGCCCAGGGATGCAATGGAGCCGTACTAAGTACGAAGTACGGAGTATATCGGGCTGCCATTGCTACAGGAATGGTCTTGAGCAGATGATGTGTCGTGTGTTCACGGTCCCTGTCTTTCCTGTCGTTTATTATCGTAGTCAGAAGGTCGTCAGCTGCAACTTATCGATGTCCAGATGATCATGACGATATGCTACCAAGAGTACACTCCGTGGAGTAGAGTCTCCGACCGCTGCGGAATGTTGACCATCTTCCATGGAGAAACTCATGGAGTAAATTGTCTTCTTCTTAGCTCGACAGTTCTCCTCTGCATTAGGATTCCGGATACTCCCATGTTTCAGATAATTGAGGGGACTAAGCCCGAGGCCTAACGGCCTCCATAGTATATCAATCCGATGTAGCGTCTTTATGCGCGCAAGCATAAAGAGAACCCGTTTGAATAGACACCGATATCTCTAATGATAATAGAATAATAAACTTGGTGGTGAAGGCGTAATCTAGAGTTGATGGCTGCTCATTCTCTTCCCCCTCCTCCGTGACCCGAGCGTTGTTCCTCTCCGCCAACTTCCTCAACTTCTTTCTCAACTACATTCATCCATCTTGCTTGTCTTTACCAGACGTCTTGCCCGCTCCCACTGATCTTTATATTTACGACTATCTTCGATCCCGACAGTTTCCTATTCCCCTTCCGCCTTCCGTTTCTTCGTCATCGAACTGCTCCGCTTTCCTTCTCCGACCTGATACCGAGCTTCTTCCCAATCCGATAAGAATCACGCCCCGTCTCACCAATTTTGGAATAGCTTGGTGTTATACTCTCGCGGAATTCAATCTGATCGGTACGCTCTTGCGTTCCTCGTCTCCCTATCGAGCGAAATCGAGAATCACCAGGCGTTCTGTGTCAGTTTCGAGCTTCAGAACGTGGGTTAGCTCCGGCGGTATACTATCATCAGTTAGTCACTCGCCACTGGTGTAGGTCTGCTCGCCTGGTTCTTGGTTAAGAGCCGGGTAACAGGGGCAGATCTGACAGACTGCCTTCGATCTGGCATACAACCGCCCTTCTCCCATCCCCTCCGCTGCTCCCGACCATCCTCACTCTCCTATTCCCTCCGACGCTACGAACGTGACCCCCACCGCCCAGGGTCGCTCGTCACCGCAGACCCCGTTGGAAACCGATATAAGTTATCGTGGAGAAGCTGGTTTAGTCGGGAGCGTGGATTCTACGGTTTCTCGTCGACGACGCCGTCGCCCTTCCACCACACCTAGTACCTCCGGCTACTCGACATCTGCGGGAACTGAACCTCTTCCAGACGATCATTCGGGAAGCGAACCCGCTTCTCAGGAACAATCACATACGATCCAGTCTCACGCCCACTCTAGGGGCCCTTCGCCGTCTCCCAAGCGCAGGCGCCTGTCCAATATGCGACTCGATGGTATTTCGAGTGCAAACGGTTACAGTCAAGGGTCAAACGGCACCGCTTCATCGCCATCGCGGAAAACCGACCAGACCCCTTATGTGTCGTTCAACGGGGATACACCTACAAACGGACACGCCAAACCATCTGCCAACCTCCCATCATACTATGGTCATGATCGAGAGGAGGTTACCCGGATTCTGATTCAGAGTCTGTATGAGCTGGGATATAATGGAGCGGCGTCATTACTAGGCAAGGAAAGCGGCTACCAGCTGGAGAGTCCAGCAGTTGCTAAATTCCGCAATGCTGTGTTGGAAGGGCGATGGCCGGAGGCTGAGAGTATCTTACTCCAGTCGTTTTACCCTTATAACGGGGGTTCAGGAAAGACTGGCCACAGCAAGGAGAAGTTATTACTGGCAGAAGGTGCCGACAAGAGTGAGATGCTTTTTTATCTTCGACAGCAGAAATTCCTGGAACTATTAGAGGCCCGAGATCTGGGAGCCGCGTTGATTGTTCTTCGCCATGAACTGACCCCTCTTAATTACGACATTGGACGTCTTCATGCTCTTTCTAGGTGTGTAATATACATCGGGAAGTTTCTTACATGGATGCTGACCTTTTCCGATCAGTCTCCTTATGTGCCCGCCTGAACATCTTCATGATCAAGCCAGATGGAATCGTCCCATAAGTAGTTCCCGAGAGCGATTATTATCGGAACTCTCCAGTAAGAACCCCCAAGGATCCGGTAATGGAAGAAATTCTAATTGGCTTTAGAATTTATTTCGCCGTCTGTAATGATCCCGGACAACCGTCTTGCGATATTATTAGATCATGTCAAAAAGAGCCAGATAAACCAGTGTTTATATCACAATACGGCAACCCCCCCTTCGTTATACTCGGATCATATGTGCGACAAAGCCGATTTCCCCCTTCAAACCGCAATAGAATTGAGCCAGCACTCGGATGAAGTATGGTTTTGTGAATTCTCGCATGATGGCACGAAACTGGTCACGGCGGGCCGGGACCGCAGTGTGATAATTTACGATACAAGCTCGTTTGACGTACTTCATAAATTGACAGAGCATGATGACGGTGTCGCGCAGGCCAGTTGGAGCCCTGATGATACCAAGCTGATTACCTGCTCTCAGGATAAGATGGCTCGGGTGTGGAGTGTCGAGACCGGCCGCTGCCTTTTGACGATTGACCATCATCGCGAACCCATAACAGCTGCCGCCTGGGCAGCCGACGGGGAGTCTTTTGTCACCGCTTCTCTTGACCTGGAATCGCAACTCTGCCATTGGAGCATGCGTGGTCATGCTCTCTACATGTGGCCACGAGGCTTCCGTGTCCAAGACTGTACCATTAGTGCTGATGGGCGACGCTTGGTCGCCGCGGATGTTGATGGAAAGGTGCACGTTTATAATATGCACACGCACGAAGAAGAATACTGTCTACCCATGAAGAGCAAACCGACATCTATTGCCATCAGCCGAGATTCACAGCATATGCTCGTGAATCTGTCCGAAGGTCAGATCCACCTCATCGATATCGATACGACAGAAGTTGTTCGTCGCTTTCAGGGGCAAAAACAAGGCTCCTATGTTATTCGGAGTACATTTGGTGGAGCTGCTGAGAACTTTGTTATCAGTGGAAGTGAAGGTAAGACATATCGTTTCCTGCTCGTCTCGTTCCATTGCTAATAACCTATCTAGATGCTTGTGTATACGTGTGGCACAAAGAGAACGGGGATCTCGTCGAGACGTTGGAGGGGCATATTTCTGGCTGCGTAAATGCGATATCTTGGAATCCTATGAATCCTGGCATGTTTGCTTCAGCAGGTGATGACTACTTGGTCAGAATGTAAGCGACCTCTCTCCCTCTTTATGTTTGACGTGTATCAGACTAACGAGAACTCGCAGTTGGACTCGAGAGAGTGACACACCACGAAGCACTGTCCGTGGCATTCAGAGAGCAATGGCCTCGAAGTTCCTTCCGCGTACCAGCGCCTTACGATCAACGTCAAGTTTCCAATAATCTCGGTCCGAATCCGTTATCTTACTCTTTCAGTATCGATACTCTAATTAAATCCCATAAGATTTGAACTGCAGAAGATCAATCCACGTTTACCCATTTGCTCGTTTCGCATATATATAGGTTTAGGTCCCAGTTTCCAGTTCCCAGTTCCCCCAGAGTAACAAGAACATTTATCTCACGCTTATCAGTATCTTCATGCACATGGTTCTTATTCTCGGTTTTGGCTCTCGGTTGCAGGGTGTGTTTTCTTGCGTTTATGTGTGTTTTTCTTTACTAGGAGTTATTGCTATATTGTTTCTCGTTTATGTACTAGACCCAGAACCAGACTTGCATAATCTATGAGAATATCATGAAATATCGAGGGTTACTTTACTTTTAGTGACCAGTAGTATACATAAAAGCGTAGATGGATATATTTCATTGTATGCAGCCA